GACATAAATATTTGTGCATAAATATTTATCTACTCCACGCCAGTGTGCATTAGCTCTTGGTTTAGCCGCTTATTCAACAGAGATATGTTTCTTTTAAAGTGATTTCCAAGTCACTTACTGTATTTGTGCTCGGCTCGCTGTGATCTGAGCTTTATCGTCTTACCCACCTAGATGGCAGAAAACACAAAGCAATTCCGAGGAGTGTGTTGTCTCTTTGTGTGAGATATAGGGATTGACACAAGCCCTCTGTTTTCAGAGCATGAAGTAATTCTTTTAATGGCCTGCCAACTGTGCCCTCCAAAGTTTGATTTTGCTCTGCAAAATGAGAGCAAAAATCTCAAACAATTTATTATGCTGTTTGTGCCCTGCTTCGCTAGTTATCGTCTGCAATTTATTTCCTACCTTGGGGTACTGCGAGCCATTTTTCTCCATTTTCAGTAGCTCACTTTTTCTTTTTTTTTTATTCCTTGCTCCTGCATGCTGCTGACTAAACTCGTGCCTCCAGCCATGGTGTTGGAACATCACAGAAAACTACATCATTATATTGAAGCTAGTTAACAAAGAGAGGCAGAGAACCAGTTTAAATCACAGGGCACAAGGCGCTATGTGAATTACTGAGTTCACTCACTCAGATGCAGCATTTCACAGCCCGTCTCTCTGCAGTTACACAGGTGAACTCCCTCACTAATAAAGGCTGCTTCAGGAATTCAAGGTCAGCGCCCGACCACTCTTCACTATTTTAAATTCATTTTTTTTCTATTATAGATTAAGCTTTAGAGTTCAATGCGAGTTCCATGTCTGCATCAGCTGAGCACCAGTAATGACCTTTTTTCAACCAGCCATCAATACTTTATTTACATCTGTGCTCTTCCTACTGGGAAATGCTGCTATGCCTTTCCTGGAAGAGGTCTGATCATCTCTGCAAAAAATAGCTGTGATTTTTACCTTTGATTGAAAAAGAAGACAGTAATTTAAATTTCAAAGCAGATAGTGTTAAAGTATGGTCTCCTGTGGTTACACACTTAAGAGTCAGCAGGGGATCTGCCCAGTGCTACGCTAAAGAACGCAAGATGCTGCTGTGAAAGATAACAGACCTAGTTTAAACTAAATCCGCAAACAACTATATGTGCACCGACAAAAAAATTTAGAGATATCCTTTATTCAATGTATTTAAGAAATGGCATTAATGAAATAAGTATTCTTAGTGAAGTCAAAGTGGCTACACCACAATATGAAAATCTTCTACACATAAAAGTGCTGCATTAAAAATTGTGCTTTACTAATAGTACATAGAGAAATATAAATAAAACATCCAAGTGAGTGTGTTCATTATGCAGCAGAAAGGCCCTGTTAGTGATGTAGACATTATATCTTATATTATTTAATAATGAATCTCCTTTTTATGCATGAACATGTAAGCAGTATTTTAATATGGTAGCTGGTCGAGGGGGAGCTCATTTAAAAAAGAAATCACATATACGTTTGCTTAATTTTATCTTAAAATTGCATCATATTTCATAAACTGGTCAAAGGTTTGTATGTGAAGGTATAAATTAATTTAGCCTCTTCTGGGAGTAACCATAAAGTTCTCTTGTAGTATGTATGATAACATTTGGTCGCATCACAAAGTGGCTGCACAAAATTATCAACAAATTGTTATGTGGCTCAATGTCATATGCTCTGTATCCATTGAATTCTCAAATTAAAAAAGAAAATAAAGACACAAACCCTTGAAATTGCACTCCAGTTAATGACTGTCCATTGCAGAGATGTCAGAGGAGACAGATTTTTTTCAAATTAAAGCAGCAAAGCTCTAAAATTCCAGATATTTGGTTCTCAAACAGATATTTGAGTTTCCACACCCAGTGTATAAACGTTTCTGTCCTAGATGTATATAGTTTCCAATCCTGGACTGAAATGACCATAAAGAAACCATCACAGCATTTTTCCCAGTACTTGACACAAAGCTCCTTTGACACCACAGAAAAGAATTTACATGCGAAGCATTGCTTGTCATAAAGAATATCTGTGACTTACACCTTTAACTTTCACCTTCACGACTATAAATCACACATGTATAAAGACATGGACAATAGAACACCATTGTAAGCACCCCTTCATCCCTGCAGTAGGATTGTCTGACCACAGGGTGGCAGAGGGAATCCTGCGGTGCCTGTTCCCAGTATGTCTTTTAAAATGAGTCTTAATAACTACCATTAAATCACTGCTCACAAATTGTATTTTGATATGCAAAACGATTTTTAAATGCATATTATATGCTGTTTTAATCCTTAATATCAGTAAATACGGCATATTAGGCCTTTTAATATTCTTAAGAGATTATCAGGCACTCGTTGCCTGTGTGCTTATGCAGAGTTTCAGCATTATCAAATATTAATTCTTTTAAACTTGCTCTTTTAAGAGGACTTCTTTGATGTTGATGTAATTTTTCATCGG